CTGAGCCCTGGTCCCCAGGACCTTCCATCCCCTTGTCAGCCTCTGGGTTGCTGTGTCCAAACCCCGTTTTATCTAGTCCCTCAGGGATATTCTGGAAGCTCTCCAGAGGGTCAGCTGTGATTCAGTTCTAACTTGAAGGTACACAACAAAGAGAAAGTGGCATAACTAAGGCGTCACAGTGGCTCACTGGTTAAGTGTCCAGCTGTTATCTGGAAGGCCGGTGGCTGGAATGCACCGGCCACTCTCTGGGAGAAGGAGAGGAGCAGTTTGTTCTGTTAAAGTTTCTAGCTTTGGAAATCCTATGAGGCAGTTCTGCACTGTCCTTCAGAGTCACTATGGGTCAGAATTGCCTTGACATCCATGGATTTGGTTTTGCATTACGGTGCAGCCAGCTTACTGATCTTTTACTGAAAGTGATTCAAGCTTTTCAACGAGTCTCTGATTTTGTCTGACTGGTTTTTCCTATGGATCTGATTTCAGTAACCAATCATGCAGATATTGCAAAAGAAACACCAAGGATTAAACATAACGATTTTTGAGAATAGCGATCACACATTTAGCTTGGTACCTCAAATGAATATTGAGACTTTTTTTTAAAATGTTTCCTACGTAAATTAACATTTGGAGACTTTTCTTTTTTTACCAGATTTTATTTTTGAGAGCGGTTTCCAGTTTGCTGAAAGTAAAGAGTTCTTGGTATCCCACCTTCACTGCCCACTTTTTCTCCTCTTGTTAACAACTTGCTTTCCTGTGATGCATTTGTTCCAGGTGGGAGTCCAATGTTTAAAAGGTATTAACTGAAGTCATAGTTTAAGTCTTGGGGAAGATGCAGCCACAGTGAAGGTGAAGATGGCAAAGCTCCATCTCACGTACTTTGGCACGTTACTAGAAGGAAGTATTGCTTGGAAAGGGACATCAAACCAGGAAAGGTTTGATGAAAGGTCAGTGAAAGAGAAGACGACTGTCAATGTCATGGACTGACACAGTGACTGCATCAGTGGGCTCAAGTATGTCAGCGAGGATGAGGATGGCACAGGAAAGGACAGAGTTCAGCTCTGTTGTGCACAGGGTCACTGCAAGTCATACTCAGTGACACATAGCAACACCACCATGGATTTTGTGCTGGAGGAAGTGTAACCAGAGTGCTTTTTTGAGGCAAGGATGGTAAAACGTCACCTCACATACTTCAGGCATGTTATCAGGAGAGGCTTGTCCTTGGAAAAGGATCGTGCTGGAAAAGGTAGAGGGACCTGAGGGAGAGGAAAACCCTCAACAAGATGGACCGAGGCAGTGACTGTAACAATAGGCTAACCTGGCGGAGATTGTGGTGACGGCACAGGATGGGGCAAGGCTCCCATGTGCTGTTCAGAGGGTCACTGTGAGAGGTGGCCCACTGGACAGCACCTAATGACAACATGGATTTTGACAAATATGATGTGTTTTATTGCAGAATTATTTCACTGCCTCCAAAATGCCCTGTGCTCTAGTCATCCATCACCTCTCCTTTCCTCCCTGGTTCCCTGACAACCACTGGTCTTTTTTAAAAAAAAAAA